GAGCAGGGAGCCCGATGCGGGACTCGATCCAGGGACTCCAGGATCATGACCTGAGCCGAAGGCAGTCGCTTAACCAACTGAGCCACCCAGGTGCCCCTATCTCTGTGGGTTTATATTTAATTTGCCTTTGCATATGTTCAGATGAGTAGGAGGGTCGGTTTGTTCGTTTCACAAATTATCGAACTTCAGAGGACCAGGCACCATAAACAGTGAGGCTCTAACAGTGAAAAAAATAGGGTTCTTGCCTTCAGGGAGTTAGTGATGTGGTAGAGTAAATAGGTAATCAGTAAAAGAAGTAAGTTACTGATTGTGGTGAGGGGTATAAAAGGCAACCAACAGGGAGCTGAGAGAAAAAAATGAGGTCTCCTACTTTGGGTAGAGTTGTCAGAGGAGGAGACACACCAGCCAAGATGTTTTTCTCATCAGCTTCATGGTGGTATATTTTATTTTCAGTAAAATTACACATTTTACATGTACAGACTACTTTTTTTTTTTTTAAGATTTTATTTATTTGACAGAGACATAGCGAGAGAGGGAACCCAAGCAGGGGGAGTGGGAGAGGGAGAAGCAGGCCTCCTGCGGAGCAGGGAGCCCGATGAGGGGCTCGATCCCAGGACCCTGGGACCATGACCTGAGCCGAAGGCAGACGCTTAACGACTGAGCCACCCAGGCGCCCCCAGATTAATTACTTTTGATAAATTTAACCACCTCCATCCTTTCAGTCAAGATAGAGAATGTTTCCTTCTCCCCAGAAAGTTTCCTCAGTACCCGTACTCTGCAGTCAGTGTTCCTGCCCCACTCCCCACTCTAGATAGTCACTGGTGTGATTATTTTGTTATAGATTAGTTTTGGAATTTTATATAATGCATTCATGTTATATGTATTCTTTAGTGTCTGACTTCTTCAGTGTAATTATTTTGAGAGTCATCCAGTTATGGTATGTATCAGTTCTTTTATTGTTGAGTAACATTTAATTGTAAGAATATACCCCAGTTTATTCTTTCACTTAATGAGTTACTCCAGCTTCTTTATGCTTACTATTTAGATAATTTATCTTTTCCCATCCTATGCTTTCATCCTATGTCTTTATGTTTAAAATGGGTCTCTTTTAGACAGCATTTGGTAGGTCTTGCTTCATTATCTAGTCTGGCATTCTCTTCCTCTTAATTGGGTGGTTTAGTCCTTTTATATTTAATGTAATATTTAATTACATATTTAATATTTGATATTGTTGGGTATAATCCTACCTTCTGGCTATTTGTTTTCCATTTGTACCTTCTGGTTTTTGTTCCTTCCTTGGTCGTTTTCTGCCTTTTGGGTTAATTGAATATTTTCTAGGGTCTCTTTTTTAATTCTGTTGGTTTCTGGGCTAAACCACTGTATTGTTTTATGCCATGTTAGTGCAGATGTGTGAACAGCTCAAGGTGTTCATTAAGCTCCTTTCACCTGGTGGGATGCAGCCTCAGCCAAGATATTTTGTCTTGATGGGAAAAATAGTGGCAGCTCTGTGACTTCAGACCACTTGTTCATTCTTTTCTGTCTTCTCTTGATCTCTCCCTTTTGGGAACTTCAGGTACTCAGGAAGACTGTTTTCCAGTTAAAATAGGCTGATACTTTGTTATTCATCTTTATTAACCTTTGGATCATGATATCGTTAACCTTAAAAATTAAACAGTTATTTTACCAGAAAAATGGGTTTATTCAGAAATAGCAGAGAACTGCAATCCAGGACATGCAAGCTATGGCAAATCATAGGCAAGTCCCACAGACAAAGGAGAACAACATTATTTTATGGAGAAAGGGGAAGATGGGAGGGGTTGTTGTGAGTGAAAGTCCATGGGAGAGAAGCAAGAGTTTGGGGGGATAACAGTTTTTCAATGGCTGATTGCTGGAGTAGTCAGTCTTTTTGTAGGAGTTGTTACATCTTTTCCTGTTGGGGCTTGTAATTCTTTTCCTGTTGAGGATTCTCCTGTTGGAGTCTAATTGATCATTTTTTCCTGTAATTGACAGGGAGAGGTGCTGGCTCCCCCTTCTGGCCTCCCCACTCCATTTTAGTGGCTTCCCAATATATGTATCTGGAGAAACTACATTATTATTTGTTACTTTTGCCTGAATGCCCTGGATAAGTACAGGTCAACTCCAGCTCATAAACATAATGTTTTCTCAGAGTTGAGTCCATGGTAAGAATTTCCCATAGAAATCTTATTAGTGGTAGCCACGAGAGCTCCCTCTCCTTAGTTCTGAGCAAGCTCGCTGGCTGTTCTGAAGCCCTGGAGATCAGTGGCTCCTTTGGCGAGCCAGGCTGCAGAGAGGTGAGGGAGGAGTGTGTTGGGTGTGGGAGGCAAGAATAGGGATTATTCTAAGACCTCCTTCTCCTTTGCTCTCTGCTGCCTTCCCACCCCACACCTGGGGAGACAGTATTAGAGAGTCGTTTTCAGCATATTGGTCATGTCTTGCATTCTCTCAGCTAAATATTGCCTTAGCACAGCATATTTTTTACTCCAGGGTGATGTTTTAGGAACTCCATGTTCTTACTCAAGGGATTTTTCTCTTAAGCTTCAATCTCCCTCCACAGAAAGCTGTTTTTAGAAGAAGATAAACTTAGCAATCATGTTTGTGTTTGCTCTTTTGTAGTCGAGCAAAAGATGTGATAATACCAGCAAAGCCACCTGTCAGCTTTTTCTCCTCGAGGTCTCCGGTGCTTGACCTCTTCCAGGGGCAGCTGGACTACGCAGAGCATGTTCGCCGGGACTCAGAGGTGGTGCTGTTGTTCTTCTACGCTCCGTGGTGTGGCCAGTCCATTGCCGCCAGGTCAGAGATTGAGCAAGCAGCGGGTCAGCTTTCAGACCAGGTAATGCCAACACTCAGCCTGCAAATGGATGACTCAGCCCTGTGTGCAGGGCTGGTTGTTCCCAGAGAGACCCCTTACCCAGCTTGCTGACTGAGCCAGGGTGAAGGCCAGGAGTCTTACTTTAAAAAATTGTAATGCCTTCTATAAAGAAAAAGGATTTCTGATGGTAAGGGTCATAGTTGGTTAGAGGCAGGAGAGGGAGCAGGAGAGGGTAACACTGAGCTGTGTTTCCTTGTGATGCAGGTCAGTGTTCATCTCAGGGTGCCATGCTGTTTGGTTTCAATGCTGAAAAGCCTAGTTGAATATCCATTGGATACTTGTCCATGAGTTATTTTCTTTTTCTTTCTTTCTTTTTTTTTTAATATTCACATTATTTATTTGAGAGAGAGAATGCATGCGTGCATGTGCATGGGGTTGGGGTAAGTAGGGAGGGACAGAGAGAATCTTAAGCAGGTTCCATGCCCAGCATGGACCCCGATGCAGGGCTGGATCTCACCAGCCTGAGATCATGGCCTGAGCCGAAACCAAGAGTCAGACTAAGCTAACCAGGTGCCCTGCTGTAAGACAGATTTATATGTCATGACTACAATGTAACATACTGACATTTTAAAAATACTTGGACCAAAAAAATAAATAAATAAATAAAAGTAAAAATAAAAAAATAAAAATACTTGGACCAGAACTATATGCAACAAATACTTAATGAAGGTTAACCTTTGTGCTAGACCAAAGGGCTGCACAAATGATTCATCTATATGGCAGTGGTTTTCAACCCAGTGGATCCCAGTTGCCTTTTATAAAACAAATATTTTATGAGGTGTCTTTTGCTGTCCTGAAAAGGAATTCATAGATGATAAAACTTCCCTACACATTAAATTGCAAAAGAGCCAATCTACTAATTATAAAGGTGGGGGAAACAAAGGTAACACAATCAGGTCATGTGTGTTTCAGAATGTAAATGCTGGGGCAAAATAGGTCCTGGTCCCTTTATGGAGAACTTTTGGGGTCAGACTGGTAAAGGTGTGTTGTGTTAGAGACTCAGGTATCATGGGGACACTGCTCTCACTGATTCGAGTTTCCTAAGCGGTAAACAGCTCTTGGTAAAGGCTGGAACCAAACAAAGTAATTTCTGCCTTGGGTTTACATAGGAGTTGCCTTCCCAAGAAATTCGGTGAATACAAAAACCATACTTTGAATTCACATATGAAATGGAATTAGGTCCTGGGCTTGATTACTAACAGGCAGGTTTTCTCCAGCCTCATTGTTGGGCAGGACATTTCAGACTGCCCTGGGGTGCTGGGGATAACTCTTCCCTGTGCAACGCAGTTTCGAGCATCGTGGGCTGTCTCCCACAGTGCCTGCCCACCCCATGCCCTGTAGCTTCCCAGTCAGTCACTGCAACAAGCAGAAGAGATCGCACAGATTTCTAAAAGGCTGCTGCTGAGAACCACTCATCTGAGGTAATTTATGCAGGCAGCTGAGTTCCAGAAGTTTCTTTGGAACTCTGGGTTGGTTTTTCTTAGAAACAATGTTATAAATGCTGGTGAGGCTTTCTGCCCAACCTAGCAAAGCCTTTTGAACCATTATAGATCCCTGAATGTGGTGCAAAGTACTTTTTAAATCTAGTTCTTCATTAGAACTCTTCATTGCCTGGGACACTGGTTCTGAGGGGGTTGTGATTTTGTGTTCCGACTTTGGACCCATGGGATCGATCAGTTCCCAGTACTCCCTTTATCCCCCTCCCCCTTTAAAAATGACTAATAATAGGGGCGCCAGGCTGGCTCAGTTGGTAAAGCATGTGACTCTTGATCTTAGGTTCGTGAGTTCAAGCCTCACATTGGGCAGTAGAGCTAACTTAAAAAAAAAAAAAGGTAATAATAACCAAACTGGCAGACATTTCCAGGGAGGAAGCAGGAACTCTAATGGAGCTCTGGGAGGCAAGCGATAGGTTAGCATAAAAGAAGTCGCCCCTTCATTCCCCAGGCATTGCCCAAGTTTTCTGAATTAAGAGAACATGTGGGGAACAAGGAGGAAATCTGTGTTTAGGGCAGGTGTCAGTTCCTTGTTACCGTATTGTGAGCTGAAGCAGCGGTGTCCTTCTGAGTGAGTTTCGGAGTGGCGTTCTGGTGTACTGGGCCCTGTGCAGTTTCTCATGACAGCTCTGCACACTGGCCCTGGCGTCCCTGTGCTTGGAAGCAGGACCTCAGACTTGGATGGTGGAGTGGTTGGCTAAGGATCACATGACAAGTGGTGAAGGTTATAGTGCCATCCACAGCTAACGGGCACTGCTTTTTTCAAATGTTTTTTCCAGCTCCTTCCAAATGGAGAGCTTATTATTCTGTGTTCTCACTAGGGAAAAGGAGGGGGTTTATTTTTGGAAACAGGCAAAAATCGTTTGAGCCACATTGCTTTAAGTAAAATTAGCAAACGTGGTAGATTGTGCCCTATTTTTGAATAAAAAAATGAGATGTCGCCTTTAAGTAAAGATATCGTTGTTTTCCTTTCTCATAAATGGACTCTAAAAGGAGCTCTAAAGAGCTTCCACGAAGTTTTGAGCAATATTGCTATTTACGACGTGTAAGGAAGGCCTCTAAAAGTGACTTTTCATTTGTAATCTTCATATTTTTTCAATATTACTATGAAAATTTCTTCACATAGCAAAGGTAAAGGAATTGTATATATGATTGCCAGTTAAATGTTGTTAATGACATTTTATTTTGCTTATTTGATCATGTATTTATTTCTCTTACTATTCCTCTAGTCAGTGGTTCTCACCTAGAGGAAATTTTCTCCCCCAGGGGACTTTCGGCAGCATTTGGAGCTATTTTTGGGGATCACTATTGAGGGGGGGACGCTGCTGGCATGTAGTGGGTACAGGCCAAGAATACTGCTAAACCCTACAACCAGTGTGTAGGACTGCCCCTCAGCAAAGACACACATACAGAAAGCCTCCTACCAGTGGAAGGCCAAAATAGCAGTAGTGCTGAAGTTGAGAAACCCTGCTCTAATCTATGAACCCATCTTCTTTGGGGTACTTTTCCAAGTAGATTGGAGACACAGTGACACTTCTCCTGAAATATCTTAGCATCTACTTATAAATATGTGTTTAATTTGTATTTTTGCTGCTTAATACTACATTTTAGAGCATAGCTTTAATTATCTTATTCTTACTGGTTTTTAATGTAGTTGTTAAAAATGGCTTTTGATATTTGTGACGTTTTATTTGCAGCTAACATTTTTTTTCCTTCTCCCATGCTCAGTTTGACTGTCAAAAGATATCCTTCCATTGAGTTTTAGTGTAATCATGCTTAGAAAAAGCTCACTGGTGCTCATTCACTTTAGAATTCAAAGCAAATCATTTCCCTCTTGGACTAGACTGTAAAATACTGGTAAAATACTAGAGTCCTAGCTAGACACCATAGATGAAAGTCTGTCTTTTTTTTTTGTGGTGGTAGATGATGACCTTCTTTGAATACCGGAGATAATTTTTTTCTCACTTTCTGTTTTGGAGAGGAATAGTTCCATTTCTATGATTTTTATCTTTAAAATCTTGGTAATTTTTCAGTTGTTATTCATAGTCATTTGAAACCTTTTTTGGCTCTGCAGGTGTTGTTTGTGGCAATTAACTGTTGGTGGAACCAGGGGAAATGCAGAAAACAGAAGCATTTCTTTTATTTCCCTGTGATATATCTGTATCATCGGAGGTAAGAATTAGTTTTCTAATTCCAGTTACGTTCCGAAGTGAATTTTTTTTCTGTTTAAAAGTATTAGATATTCACTGTAGGAAATTGAGAAAGTACAGATAAGCAAAAAATACAGATAAGCAAAAATAAGAGGATCTGGATATTTAATCAGCCATACATAATCATTATGTGTTTTGATTTATATCGTCCTCTGACTATACATATCCACCCTCTTTTTTTTTTTTCCAAAATAAAAAAATGGGATTGTGTAGTAATAGTATTTCCTAAACTGCTTTTTCTTGCTTGTGTGAACATTTTTTTCATACCATTATGTAGTGTATGGCATTGTTTTTGGTAGTGCTCGCGGCCCTATTGTGCGGTTGTACATTTCGGACATCCTGAAGTACTTTATCGTCTGAAAATACACAAAGGTCCTTATCCTGTCACCTGGCAACATACATAAGCAGGAGGGAATCTTAGCACCTTTTCAGCTGGGAAGAAAGTTACTATGAGTCCCCGGTCCTATGCCCATAATCCTGAAACCCAAAGAGCTTTGAAGTCCTGAAAAGTTTTCGTAAATTTTGTTCCGTATGCATTCATCTAGCCTGAAGTAACAAGAGGCTGCCTTTGGTCTTTATCCCACTTAAGGAGCCAGTTTATTTATTATGCTGCAGAAATATTGGTGTTTGATTTTGGAATACTGCCCAGACGTTGCTGTGAGTGTTAAGTAATGTCTAAAATCGGTCTTGAAGAATTTTGGAGACAGATGAGACTTTAGACTTTGTTCAGTGTAATTGGCTTGAAGTTTGTTAATGAAGGTAAAATGGGTAAAGAACGTTTGATTAGTAGGAACTTTACTTTTTATGCTTTATTTTTTCCCTCCCTCTGAACTTCCTAGGCTTTAATCAGTGAGGATTTATAAGAAACATCAAACTATCATTTGTAGATTATCTGTCACGTTCCATCACACCTCATGTTTCTAAAATAAAATGTTGTGTGGCATGTAGTATTGTTTCTCAAGAGCTGTTAAGTAATATTTGAGCAAAAATGCACTTTCTTACCCCATCTCCACCTTCAAAGTCTCTTCTAGATACAAGAGTACTTCTCAGAGAATAAACTGTTGCATTTGAAGATGCTAAAGCTGTCTGCTCTGTAATGGGATAAATAAGCTTGCCCTGCGAAGGTTCCTGCAGTTCTCTTTTTGGAAGTAGACAATATTTGGAGATAGGAAATAGGTCACAGGTGCCTAGTGAGGAGTATAGGCCTTGCCACTAGGTAACCCAAGTCAACTGCCCAGAGGTGGGCCTAATTTGATGGGATACTAAAATCAGGAGAGTTCCCTTGAATCAAGTACAAAATATCTTTTTGGGTTATATGGCTGTGCAGTATATTGTCTTATACTGTTTGTTTTCTTAGATTTATGGAAAGATTGAAAGGACAGGCAAGGAACCTTAGAAACATCTAGTCCATCCTTCTCATTTTATGAGGAATTTGAGGTTGATACTCTCCTTGAAGTGCTTGCCCCTCATCTTTGCCTGTTAGGTTTTACTTGTTTCAGTTCGTTCAGACCTCTTAATACTCACTTGAATATCTCCCATTCCCAGTGTACCAAAAACAAGCAAGTGCTAAGGCACAGAGATACCTGAAAGGTAGCCTTTTCATATCCCGTTTAAGAATCTGCAAGTTCTCTGTTCTATACATAACACACATGAATGAATATGTGTCTTCAGCTAAGCTCTCCTGTGACCATTCGGTGGTGCTGAGGTTCTCTTGGTTAATAGTGCTTGCAAACGTGGCCCCTCAGCCTCATCCCTGGGCAGCCAGACCATCGCTGTCCGTGTGTTTCTGTTGTTCCTGTGTTCGTAATGGCTTACCTACTAGTGGCTGCTGAGATTAATAGACTTTCTGTTTTGCTTTTAAGTAGATTCCATTTTTTTTGCTTGTACTGATACCACTCACTAAGAAAGTTTATAAAAGGCTCTAAGGCAGGGAGTAGTTTCTTCTAACACTCTGTTCACGGCTCAGCAGCCCTGGATCAGCTCGTCCCGTGGTCGTGACTGTGGCATGTTGGTAAAATGTGTTTTGCACCTGCATTCTGAGATCTTCTCAGCTTTTACAAGTCACTGGGATCCTTCTAACGACCCTCCAGGAGGCTGTTTGCCTGAGTAGATGATGTTTCCAGATTTGTTGGCTCCGTTTTGCTGAACAAAATGTGTTATCAGATGATTTTTTGATTTCTTCCTTTAAATTAAAAATTGTTAGTGGCTGATGGGGTTGTTGGTGGTGGTAATTTTTAAATTAATGTAGGTCTTGAATTGATAGAGTTGTTAACTCTGTCTCCCAGCTGTGCATGTAGAGCGCTATTTTTACTTTTTTCATGCTAACATTCTTTTGTTTGGCATCATATTTTCAGTGCACCCTGAAGAATTGTGTTTATCTCATCCCATTATATGTGTGTTTGTCATTTATGTAAGCATATGGTATTGGGATCACAGCATTTATGTAAATCTTTACTATGCTCTGTTTATTTTGCTATTAACAGCAAGCTTAATGTCAATTTCTATTTAGACAGAAGAATGGTTATGGAGTTATTATATTTCACCTTACTCCCCCATCCCGCCACATACCATTCAGTTATATTTGAGCAGCGTCTGCATTGTGCAAGATTGAAGAAAGCCATGTGAGGATTCTGATTAGCTTAGGAGGGTAACTGAAAGTTGGTCTTATTTCTTAGCAATGCTAAATCAAATTCCTGTGCATCCCTAAGCACACCTGGAAGGGAAAATAAGATCATTTTTGCAGATCCCTAACTTTGTCCCTTCCCATTATCCTTTTTTGTTATAGTAAAGCGTTCAATAGGTTTCAGGTTATTTAGTGATCCTTTGTGTAAGTGCCTATGGGAATATTTAATAAGTACGTTTTAGTAGGCCAAGGGCCAGTTGCTCAGCTTGTTTTTTATTTCAGGGTGATGTGTAAAAGAAAGCACCCCCCCCCCCACGTTGAATTATGTAGTTAAGATCCTGCAATCCTTTAGCATTTGGTCAGTTTCCAGGATTGCCTTTCTGTTTGGTTTTGTTTTTTAAAGAAATATTATGGGAATTTTTCTTTTTCTCCCAGAGGCTAGAATGAATGTTTTTTGTTTGAAATTCAGTTTGCAGTTGAATTAAGCTCATAGAAAAGTAGTGGCTGCTTGTGCCACCCGGCACATGAAATGCTTACTTTCAGTTGGTCCTCCATTCACCTCCCGGGACACAGGCTACTTACCTATGAAGCAGTCAGGATCGTCTTGTGGTGTTGATGATTTCAGTTATACGTTACAGGTTTAATGCATGGTGTATTATTTTTATTTTTTTATTTTTATTTTTTTGGTACTAGTTTTGGACCAATCGAATACAAAGGCCCCATGAGTGCTGTTTACATTGAGAAGTTTATCCGCCGGGTGATGAAACCACTTCTCTACATCCCATCTCAATCAGAATTACTAGATTTTCTCTCAGACTACGAGGTACCTGTCTTTCATATCTCCTCCCATCCCCAAGGTTTCACTGGGTTGTGTTGGATTGTTTATATTAGAAGGGTTTTTTATACCTCTTGATTTGCAGCAATGAAAATATCACATTATAGATAAGCCCCAATTAAATGATTTTTGAGATACTCGATCGTAGGGATGGTTTGGCCGAGTGAGTTTTGAGAGAATGGAACACTTGTAAACCTTGTGAATTTTTTGTTTGGGAATTTCCAGCAGACTTTCAATTTGTCTTATGATGAGCTTAGAGCAGATAAGAATTAACTTACAGGTTTATATGCACCTGCAAATTTCTAAAAATTTTATTTGACACTGTATGGCATGTTACTATGGAATACTTGGTTTTACTTGTCAGCTGTAGTTTAGCTTTAAAAAAAACTGGGAATGTGTGCCCTTCTATTTTATAATTTGCATAACTCTTTCAAGGTCTTATTAACAGAAAGTTTCCTAACATGGCTTCTCTGCTGCTTTCCCATTGCCAGCTTCATCCCCTGATAAATTGTTTTTTATAGGATCTTCAGTGTGTGTTCAGGACCTCTTATTATTGAGAGGCCAGTATAAAGCTTAAAATAATCTCAATAAATTATAAGAACAGTTCCACAGAAGAAGTCATTGCAGCAAGTGTAAATCATACTTGGGTACAGCAAGTAAAAATGATACTTAGATACAGGACCATAGGTACCTGAGACATAAACCCTACGAATCCAGACCTCACTGAGGATTTAGTAATTGTGACTGGGTTGGATTTTACCTTTTGCACTGGGGAGATTTTATGTAGATTGGACATGAATTTCTGTCGTTACAGCTTTTTGGTCATGTTAGGAACACTGTTTATGTGTTAACTCTGAGTAGATTCTTTAAGCAGCAGTGTTAATATCTAGTTATTCTGCTTGTAAGTTCTCAGCTGTGCATTAGAGTGAATGTGTCCTTACTCTTACGTGGCTATGGGATGGCTTTCTATGCCCCTCACAGGCTTGTCTCTCGTTCTGCGAGGGCAGGCACGGGATGGCTCTCTGTGCCCCTCACAGGCTTGTCTCTCGTTCTGCCAAGGCAGGCTGGCAGCTGGGAGCCACCCTGGGTGCCTGGGCCTGGTCCCACTGGCAGCACTAACTGGTTCTGTGACATGGGGCAGGTCACTCACCTGCCAGGCATCAGGGGACTGGAACGGGCATTTAACTCTTAGTTGCAATAGTTGTGTGATAGGTGGGTTTTAATGTAGATTTGCAGTAGATGACGGTCACGGAGGCGGTACGGCAGAATGGTGAAGAATCAGGACTTAGACACTGAGCTCCGTCACTTGTTAGCTGTGTGGCCTATGGACTTCTTAACCTCTTTAAGCCTCCATGCCTTCATCTATAAACAGGGATTAAATAAGACATGAAAGTGCCTGCAGGATGTATTCCCAATAAATGAAAACTTATCCATAGAAATGGCGTCATGGGAAAATCCTGGATATTTAGCACTATTGAGAGAACTCGACATGTGTGTAATGTTTGCTGGAACTTCCTACTTATATAAGAAATCTTTTGTTTGTTTTATAATTAAGATGATAAAAAATGACCTGCAGGGGTGAAGAGGTCTTCCTTCAGGTAGGCTTTGTAGGGACTTCTGTAGGACACTGTGCCTAGTTTTGCTTGAAATCCTGTTTTTTTCTTTACATTTTCACTGAGTTTCTCCTAAAAAATAAAGGGAAAAATGGCAGACGAGCAATGGCACATGAATAAATAGTATATATTATGTGTTCACCCTTTCAAAGAAAAGTATGGAAACCATTGAGATCACTTAGCGTTATAATAAGAGTACCGAGAGGCAACTTCATTATTATTTTCAGCTCCTTTGGAGATCTGTATCCAGAGAGTTCAGAGCCAGTTCTTAGCAGGGGTCATGTGATAAGGAGTAGGACTCAGCTAGGACTCTAGAGGTCTAGGTTTTAGTCCTGACATTAGCAAGTCTCTGACTTCTGAGTTTTACACAGATTTCTAGTCTCTGAAGGTAGGGAATTGGCTCACATAATCCTTTCTGACTATTTTGACTTTGATGAAGTTTAGAGGCTGAAAGAGGGAGGCAGAAGAAGGTTCATCAGTTACTGGTTGGGGAAGTTTTTTTGAGACATGCCTTTGAACATCTGTATCAGAGCTCTTTCTGATCTTGTTTTGTTTATGGCCTCTATAGTGTCTCTGTGGTTGGACCTGCAGGAGAGAGGCGAGTTCCCCTTTATGACTGAGCAGCAAAGCTGGTTCCTTACCTTTAGCCTCTGCATTCTCTGAATCTACTTGTTAGCAGTGCTTTCAGAGATGATGCTCCAAGTTTGACGCTGAGTTCACATCAGACTCACTGATGTGCTGGCGACATTACTCATTTCGGCGGCCTGCTGAGTTAGAATGATGTACAGCAATGTTCAGACTGCCTTTAAAACAGGACCAAGAAGGTGCTGCCAAGATGGGACCCTGTATGGCCTGTCAGCCTTTAGAATGCTTCCTCCCAAAGTGGTAGATAGCTTTTATCATGTTAGTATCATCTTTCACTGGGCTGCTTCTCACTGAGATGAAATTGCCTGGTTGGCAAGAGACAATATTTGATTAATGGTGAAAGAACTCAGGAGGCCAGCCCAGCATGGCACTTGTGAAACCATCTATCTTGTGAAACCTACCAACACTGCCTAGATGGTCTCGGTTTCGTGCACACTCTTTGTAAGATAACGTAACGGCAAAATGTTAGATCCAGAAATGAAACCACCGCCATGGCTTCGAGAGTCGAATAAAGAGGAAAGGTAAAGACATTTTTGGAGGCCCCGCTATAGAGCACAATATGCTTCTGGACATTCCTCTGAATTAAGGTTTCCCAACCTCGGCATTATTGACACTTGGAGTCAGGTAGTTCTGTGAGGGTGGGGGCTGTCCCACACTTTGCAGAATGTTTAGCAGCAGTCTTGGCCTCCACCTACTGGATACCTGTAGCACTTCCTTCCGCCCTTAGCTGTGACAACCAAAAATAGCCAGGCATTGCCAGATGTTCCCTAGGGGGACAAAATCACCTCAGTTGAGAATGTCTCTTGTAAATTACTGTTTTTCCCAAATAAGGCCTTAGGATGCTTCACAGGTATTAGAACAAACAGATCTTTTTTTTTCAGGTAGCACGCAGAATGCCACAATCTAATTGTTGCAAGCTTATCTCATATCACAGTGGCAGAGAGAATATGGAAATCAAGCAGTGCCTTGACTGGAAAATCCTGGAGCGTTATCTGGGGGGACTAGAGACAGGATGAGTTGTATTTGTCATCAGTAGAGCTGTCCGTGATGTTCAGCCTTATACTCATTGTTACTGCCCCTCTCCACAAAATATGCTTCCTAATATGTTAAGGGTCTTGCTAATTTAAAGAAATCTTACTATGAAAGGTACATCTTTTGATCAAGAGCCTTATCTCGTAATTTTTGTGTTTTGTAAAGGGATTTCAATATTAAGTGTATTTAAATTTAAGTATACCAGAATTGGGCTAAAATAATGCTTTAATGTTTTTGTGGCACTTCTGAGGTTTGTTAGAATGGCAATGCTTTTTGCTTATGTCTCTAGGTGTGTTTGTGACATCTTGAAGGAGTGCATTTGATAATTGTCCCCTCATTAAAAAAAACCATACTGATTAATTGTAAATTCATTTGTCTTTAATCGAGATATTTGTAAGCAGTTTGGACCGTCATAAAATTGTGCCATTAGTGTTTATTACTTGGGAAGTGATGATATTCTGGAAGTAATAACCTTTAACATAAACTTTTATTATGTGTATCCTGACCATATATGTATATGCTTATGTTGCTGTCACAAAGAGAAATGCTCTAGTTTTATCTTGGTTTGAATTTTTGTAAGTCCCTCAGATGAATCCTTCCAAAAGCCTCTTTCAGTTGATTTGATATTGAATTACCGAAAACAGTAGAAGTTTTTAACCAGTGGAAAACATTGTATTTAATTTGATATCTCAAACCTGCCCAAATCGGTTTGCTCGTCATTAACTCTAGTTTTCTAGGTTTTAGTCCTGACATTAGCAATGTCACTGAGCCTGGATGCACTGAGTAGAATATGACACTGAGCCTGGATGCAGTTTTTAGGAAAATAATTTTGCCTTTGATTTATTGAACATCACAGAAAGACATTGCAGGGTGAATATTATAAATACTTGTTTCTGTAAGTTCCAAAATACTTTACTCGTTATTAGCCAATAAAGAATGTGTAAACTATGCTCTGGTAAAGTGCCCTCCAGTTTTCACGTGCTTTTGCTTCTGATCTTCCTCAATAGCCATGTGAGATAGAAATGATAGGTCCTTCTAAACATATTCAGAAGGTGGGGGGCACAAGGGGTGTAATTTAACCCTCAGTGGAGACTGGCCTGTAGGGCTTCTGGCTCCCCAAATTCTTGCTTGTATCCAAAGAAATGTTTAAGGTCTCAGAGTTGAAACTTCACTATGGATCTAGAAGTTAAAACTTTGGGTGTTTAACTATTTTATGTCATTTTTCAGGCTTTCTCTTTCAGGATAGAAAAATTTTGAAGGTGTTGGCTTCTTAATTTGTAACTTTTTCCCCTTCATTTTTAGGAATGGTGTTTAAGAATAAATAGTGATTGAGGATGGGGCCATGGGTGTTGACCTGCTGTTAAGGCAGCAGGGTCTCACTATTTCGTGTTACTGAGTGGGTGTTCTGTGTAGGATAGTCACAGTATCGAGGCAGGGTAACGTCTAGATTTTTCTTCTCAGATATGCACTAAAATCATACCTGCCTTGGAGCGCCTGGTTGGCCCAGTTGGGAGAGCGTGCACTCTTGATCTCGAGGGTTGTAAGTTTGAGCCCCATGTTGGGTGTAGAGATTCCTTAAAAATAAGTAAGTAAATAAGTAAATAAATAAATGAAATCATACCTGCCTTATAAATAATGAATGCCACTAGAAACTGAGGTAAACTTGCCAGTGGATACTGCAGAGGGAGAAGAAGAGCTTGAAGTCCTCTTGTTGCAAACCATATTAAGAAATTCTATTTTCGGGCGCCTGGGTGGCTCAGTTAGTTAAGCGAGACTGCCTTCGGCCCAGGTCATGATCCTGGAGTTCCAGAATCGAGTCCTGCATCGGGCTCCCTGCTCAGCCGGGAGTCTGCTTCTCACCCGACCCTCCTCCCTGTCATGCTCTCTGTCTCTCATTCCCTCTCTCTCTCAAAAAAAAAAAAAAAATCTTAAAAAAGAAAAAGAATTCTACTTTCTTCATTCCCTCCATCTGTAGAATCCCTCTTCCTTGAGGGTTCTTCCTGCCTGTTTAAGATACAGACAGGAAAGTGTCGTTTATTACTTGTGGACAACATAGACAAACATATGCCAGGGGCATTTTTATTTTGGTGAATGTCAAGTTGAGTGGGCAGGGAATAGCGTTTGGTAATGGTAATGTCACTTACAAGTTCAGGAGTTCTATGGCTCTTCTAATTTTAGTATTTTTTTAGGTATCATTTGACAGGTATCAGTAGCTTCTACATCAATAATGCTTTTTTGTTTTTGAAAGCACTTGACAGAATCATCTGATTTGTGCCTTGTAACCTACCTACCAAAAGCCAACAGTATTATTTAGAATGCTTATCTTGTATTTGCAGCCAAAATAGTTTTTGATTCTTTTCATGAGTTTTCTGTAATTTATCCACTTACGATCAGTGATTTAGCGTACATCCATTAATTTATTCTTAGCAGGTTTGGCAAACCACATTGTTTTAAATTTAAGTGGGATGGGGAACAATCTTGGGAATCTTTTGGAGGGGAAAGTTGGGTGTTAGGAAAATTGCCTGGTGATAGAAAACCTGAGCCTTTTGGAGAAAAACCTAGTAGAATGCCTGGCACCTGCTGTTACCTGTTGTTTGTTAGTAAAAGTCTACTCTGCAGTTGAGCAAATAAATAGGTACCACCTCTGTCAACTCCTAGGTTGATAGCACCATGAATGAAACAGTTTTGAATTTTCTCGGGTGTGAGTTAACATTAGTAAGAAATACTTCCAGTGCCATGGAGTAGAAACACTGAGGTTACTATTCTTACGGCCACTAGAGGGTGTGCACACCGTCTGCCAAAATGTATGCCTCACTGCAAATGGTGTTCACTTAGCAAAGAAATACTTTATGCTGATGAGGTTTGCTGGCCTCCTATAAATAGCCTCTTTCCAGCCTCCTCATGATAGCAGGTGCTGAGTATACTGTACCCCAGGGAATGGAATTAAAAGCATGCAAACTGGGTCAAGTTGTAATCTGGTACTCATCATGTTTTAGTCTCGCTAAATTGTAGGAGGCGCTTTGTCGTATTTCTCTTTTTGTCTCCATTCTTCCACTCATTCACAAATGTTTATTTTGTGCCTGCCCGGTGCCAGGTACTGTCTGAAGTGGATATGTAGTGATGAACAAGAGAGACCCTCTGGAGATAAACAACAAACAGGAACACAGACAAGGTGCAGGGAGTTGAGAAGTGTCCTCCCAAAATGCCTGTCTGCCCAGAACCTCAGCATTGGCCTTATTGGGAGATAGGGTCTTTACAGGTGTCGTTAGTTAAGGATCTCGAGATGAAAGCATCCTGGACTTAGAGCAGGTCCTAAACCCAATAACTGGTGTCTGTATAAGAAGAGGAGAGGACACAGAGACACCGGCGAGAAGGCCATGTGAAGCCACAGGCAGACACGGGAGTGATGCAGCCACAAGCCAGGGAATGTCTGGAGCCACCAAAAACTGGGGAAGAGGCAAGGAAGGATTCTTCCTCGGAGCCTCCAGAGAGAGCACAGTCCTGCTGCCCTCCTGATTTCGCACTGCTAGCCTCTAGAACTGTGAGAATAAATGTGTTGTTTGAGGCCACTGAGTTTGAGGTAATTTGTTAGGGCAGCTCTAGGAAACTAATGTACAAGGTCGTTTCAGATAAGTGCCCAAAGGAAAATGAAGGAGGGTGATGTGGTAGACGCAAGGGCAGGGAGGAATGGTATAACTGATTTAGAAGACAGGGAAGCCTTTCCTCTGAGGAAAGGATGTCGCAGCAGAAACTTCCACTGAAGCCTGTGTGTGAGGCAGCCCTGAGGAAAGATGGAGGGAGTGCTTCAGGAGGAGGGAACAGGAAGTCAGAGGTCCTAAGGAAGGACTAGGACTGGTGGAGCCAGAGCAGAGGGCACAGTGGTAGGAGAGGAGGTCACAGAGGTGTCTTCCTTTTTTTTTTTTTTT